ACAGACTGAAACGCGGGACTTGTACAGCGGTGGTTCCTGTCGTCTCCTCTTTTGCCCAGGGCTTGGGTGCTGCTTCAGAAACCTCGCTTCAGGACGATTGTCTTAGCCTATGACTCGCCTGTTTAAAAATGTGGGACCTATTCGAGGCAGTCTCTCTCCTTTGACAGTGTGTATCAAAAATACCCAGAGGAAAGCAGGCTAGCGCTCTTTCTCTCCGGTGAGAATTGGGAGTCATTGTGAAGGCAGGAGCAAAGCCTCGTCCTGTTAACTGTTCCAAGATGCCCGACAGATCCTTTTCTGTTCCGTCAGGTTCTGCCCTTTCTATAAAACAGTGGGAATGCTTTCCAATATGATTGCGTTTTATGACATGGCACGCCGTGCTGTAGAAACCACAGCCCAGAGCGACAATAAGATCACGTGGTCCATCATCCGAGAGAACATGAGCGAGATCCTCTACAGGCTTACCTCCATGAAGTTCAAGGTATGTTGGTAAGGGACTGGGTTGCGCTGCTCTTCGTGAGCTTCCAGTGCCTCCGAAAGGCTGTTACCAGTTGCCTTAGGTAAACGTCTATGAACAGAGACTTTTTGCAATCGTTTTCAAACACTGAAGAACTGGTTTTGGTTTGTGAGCGCGGGAGCGGTCAGTACAGAAACCTCATCGGGTGATGCTGGCTGCGGAGCCTTGGCAACCCCACCTTCAATAGTCTCTTTTATGTTACATGTATTCATGGTAATAGTACGAGCACCTCTCCTGTTTGTTTTGGGGGCCTTGTGATAAAATTCCGTAAAAAATGATAACGTTCTAAGGAGACTATTAGCAGATAAAAGCAGCCTAAAACTTAAATCCAGGAATGTGCTAAAAAGTGAATGATAGAAAGGTTGATCGAGCTATTTTAAATAGAAGTTAAGGAAAGAAATGCTAGTCTCATGCAGCAGTATGTGACGTCCCCCGTTTTGGGCTTCAGGGCCTAAGGCAGGTAACTAGGAGGAGAGGAAGGGAGGAGTAACTTCAACGCGGGCTAAAGAGGAGACGAGTGGCTCTGGGTAGCTTCAGTAGCCATCTTCTTGGAGCACAGCTTTCCTGGAACTCATCCGGAGCGCGCTGGTGTAGCACTGCTGTGGGGACAGTAACCTGTGATGCTGGCTGATGTTGAAGTAGCTGAGGAATATTCTCTGTGAAGTATGATGCTTGTTCTGTCATAACTCTTACAGGCCAATCCTGCAAATCTTTCAAGAACAAGTACCATAAGATAAAATTACGTTCAAAATTAAATGCTCTGGCGTGCCAAGGTATTCTGTTCCTGCAGGGTACTGGCTTGTTTCTGCAGGAAGCAGATCCCTGGTATATATTCTCAAATCATCAAGAACATAACGAGATAGAATTGGGGACGCGAGCTTCTTTGAGAGCTGGTTATATAGAGGCAGGGGAAGCAATACACTTTTTACAAACCCTGGCCACCAGAAGACATCTGGCGTACAGCAGAGCGGGGGACAGCATGGCTGAAAAAGGGAATCCAGAGGGTGAATACGTGTTAAGTGGAGTCAGCCCTCTAATACAGTAGTAGTCATGAAAGGGAAGTTGTATTTCCTGGGTAACAGTCTAAAAGGCGTGAGAATTTAAATGTCCTGTACCCTGCGGTCTGCGTACTTTGGAGAGACAACGGAGAAGCGGTGCATCCACACAGGTGAGTCCTCCGTGTTTCCCGAGAGCTGCGCTGACCCGAGGAGCATAGCGCTGCGAGGGGAACGGTGGAGACACTCAACAGCCGCCACAGCCTGGCAGTCGGTGCTTCTTGCAGGGAAGGCCTTGCAGCCTCAGAGCACAGCCGATTGTTACATTTTTTGCCCTTGTCTTTCATGAAATTATCATTAATCCCGAGGTCGAGAAATTACAGCGCTGGCAAAGCGGGGTTGTCTCGAGCACCCGAGGCTTTTCCTGACGGATCCGTTCATTTGCTGTGTCGTCTTTCAGGACCCTGTCAAAGACGGTGAGACAAAAATCAAGGCGGACTATGCTCAGCTGTTTGAGGATATGCAGAACGCGTTTCGCAGCCTGGAAGACTAGACTCCACCTCCGCGGCCGCTCCAGTTTGTCCTCTCAACTCCTCATCTCAACTCCTCTGCCTCCCTCCCTTACAAGAATGATGCAACAGTACTTGAGTTGATAAATAGCCCTATGTTTTCCCTGTTCATACTCGGAGTCCTTATGAAACATTCCTCTTAGTTTGTGTTTGGCATTGCTTTGTGTGTCTGGAACGGCGAGTGCTGTGTGAATGGGCCTGGCTGAGCGAGGAAATGCTGTTGTACACTTCCAGGGTGGGGAAAACTTCACCTTGCCTCTCCCAGCTCTCTTGGTAACCCGTCGTTCACCTCGGGACGTAACCAGTTGAGCTGTCCCGGCAGAGGAGGTGCAGATCTCAGTGCAGTCACGCGGTACGTCCTGAGCTGGCAGCGGTAAGGGCATTTACATCTGGCACTTTGCTGAGTGACTATCGTGATGTAGAACGATTCTGTTCTATTCCTGAACAGAATTTTTGCTGAGTGACTATCGTGATGTAGAACGCCCTATTCCCGAACAGAATTTTTGACCGTATTCTGATGACACGTTGATAAAACCAAAAATTCTTCACTGCTCTGTCCCTTCTGCAGCCCTCAGCGGAGTCTGTTGGTATTGAAATGTGGTAGTTCTGGATCTCCAAGAAGGGACTAACTAGAAGATGAGCACGTAGAAGCAGCCAGTATACTTTTGTACACTGGAGAAATAAATTGGTTTTTTTCCTACTTGCTACCAATAGGACTGTTGTACTCGGCATCAGCTAAAATCAAAGCCATAGGTGCTCAGCTTCCAGCAGAATTTTACCTTCTTGCGTCCCACTCGCCCCATAAAATTTCTTACCGCTCAGCTGCTTTAGTTTGTAGAGCTCGTGCTGCTGCTGTGCGCTGCAGGACACGTGTAGCGAGTACGGTGACGCCTCCTATGTGGACCAGGAACACAGCCCCTCCTCGGTGGTGCTCGGCCTCCCAGGGCAGTTGCCTGGGTCAGGGGAAGGGAAGGAAAGCCCGCGCTTGACCTTCCTCCTCCACCTGTGCTCGCGTGGCCTCTTCGGCGGCGGCACAGAAGGCCCCCAGTTCTGGTGTAGGAGGGACGTGTGGTGCTACGCTTCTGGGGGCAGGGGATGAATGGGGGGGGAAGGTTGACAAAACGTCTTTACTCCTGCTGTGTTGATTACGATGCCAGGGAGACCAGTGACCGGTCTGCTCTCCGCTCTGGCAGCGCTCTGTCAAGCAGCCAAAACCGCTGTGTCTTGGGCTCGTTTATTGGCAAAAGCAGTACGGGATGGCAGCCTTTCTGCCCAGCTCCAGGAGCCCAGTGCCCGTACCGCTGCTGCAGAGCGAGAGGGAGACAAATGCTGGCACGCTCCAGTCTCTGCCTCGTGTCAGGCGCCATCCAGTGCTGCTGGGTTCCAGCTGACAGCTACTGCTGTTACTGACCGCCATGGAACAGTAACCCCTGTAGGCGACACCGTGCCAGTGGCGTGGCCACCTAAGCGTTAATTCTGCACCAAAGCATTTCCACCGGCGGCCAGCCTTGAACAGCAGCGATGCAGAGGGACCTCGCGCTCCGGACCAAATGCTGCCGCTGCGGTGTCGACTCGCCGTTGGTCAGGGAGTGCCTGGCCGACGCTCGGAGGGATGAACTGGTTTTGGTTCTCCTAAAAGAGACTGCTCCTCCAGCCGCCGTCCCGGTAGCGAATGGTTAAGTTTACAGCTCACTAAACCTTCGGTGTATGCTGCCGCTTTTACCAATGAGCATGCGTGAGAGTGGCCACCATCCAAGCCCTTGCGGCTTCCTCATCGTTTGTACCCTTCACCACTGTACTATGTAGCATTTCATGCTAGAAACCAGATGTTCTTATCTCTTTAAACAGAGGATGTTATAAACTTTATGGAAGATGTCTAAGATAATGCAGTTCTAATATTTATTGTGCTGTACCTGGCCCTGAAGTGTGACCAGTTCAAACAGTTTCATATCTATTTTTGTCTTTTTTTGTTTTGTGTCTGTTTTCAGTGTTGAGATTCTGCTGTTCACTGTGTCCTGCCGCCCTTCCATTTCCTAACGGATGTTGCTGGAAATTGTGTAAAAAAAAAAAAATTTAAAAAAAAAAAAAGTTGAAGTCAATGAGAATAAAATGGATTTAAAGTAGGTCTTTCTGTCCTGTTTTTGTCTGTCAAACCAAGCCCCTGCCGCAGCGGCGCACGCAGCATACTGTGCTTCCTTAAAATCTTACTTCACGTTAGGGATCTCTGTGAACTTGTAAGCAGCAGTGGGGCAGGGACACTTCACCTCAGTTCTCCCGTTCCAGTACAGCTTGCATCACCTCCTCAGCTATTACACGAAAGGAAGAGTTATAGCGTAATAAATATTCTCGGGGTGGAGATATTTAGGACTACTTTTATTGTAATACAAGCATGAACTTGCTTTTCCCTGCTAGCAGCTGCCCCGCGTGCTAACGCAGCTGTTGTGGTTGTACCGCTTTCTGGCACTCGGCTAAGCCGTAAAACGTTTCCCTGCCGCGTACCTTACGCGGTGGGACGTACCTCATGCCTCCTGAAATCCCGGCTGAGCCGTTCAGACAAACCCATCTGAGCTGCCGGCTCAGAAGGTGAGCGGCACTGCTGGCCGCAGCCCGAGAGGAGCACGTTGGCAAAATAAGGAGTTGAGACCTGTAAACAGCAACGGAGGAAGTGAGAATATACTAAAAACCTCACGCTCGGGCATTTGTTTACATATTTGACCACTGTGTAACACCTCTTTGAAGGAAGTGTTCGCCATTTTTTGTATATATATATTAGAGATACAGAAAGCTTGGATAGAGCAGACGTTCAAGTAATTCCAGCGCGTTACGAAGGGGTGGAAGTCACAAGCTCGCTCCTGGCAACCGCAGGCTGCCAGCCGTTCTCTGGGGACGTTAAGAAATCCATCGCGGGAAGGGACGAGTTCAGGTTTCGGCAGCTTGGCAGTTACCAAGTGGCAGCGTCCTCGCTTCATCCACTCGACTTTTGTGGATCTGGAAGGCAGGCGTCACCCAGCGGCCGCAGGAACACTGCTCGCCCCGCCAGCTGAAGGAGCCCAGCTTCGCCGTGCATTTGGGACACAGAAGCTGCAAGAAACACACGTGAGCCGCTCTCAGGTGCGCGCAGAGGCACTCGGTTCTACTTAAAACGTACTCCCATGGTACATTAAATTGTGGCTCCCTGCACTGAGCCAGCTCCTTCCCTTGTAACGCTTCACAGAAGGTAAACGGGCTGAAAAACAGGCCAAAAAGCTAAACGGCGCAGCTGGCATTCGCCGTGCCCTGGGGCGTAGCAGGCAGCTGAGCTGGCAGGGGGGAGGGGGTGGAAACGCGGCCGCTGGGACCCGGCGTGGTCCCGGGACTCTTTTGCCGGTCTCTTGGATTCCAGACAGCCTCAGTCAGCCCGAGACCTCAACGGGCTTCGTAAGCCGCACAAACCCTTTCTCATACCGAAAACCCTGCCCACAGCCTGGCCGGCGTTCTTGGTCCAACAAGCTCACCAGCTCGTTTCCTTACAGGATATTTAACGTTTAAGAATCTGTTCATAAGCTGCAAAATTCACACAAGAGAGGCTGGGAGACCTCAGTCCTTGTGCGGGGGGCTTTCGCATCAGGGAACAGAAACAGTTTGTTCGGCCTTTGCAAAAAAACCATCCCAAAAGCGAAGCGCGTGCTCCCCTTCACCTGTCCTTCCATGACTCCGAGCAACGCCGGCTCCATCCACTGCACGGGCTCGGTGAAGTAGGAGGTACACTTTTCACGGCCGTCGCTGCAAAGCTGAGCGGACTCCGTTACCCTCTTGTGGGCGAAGGCTGCCGGCCCGCCGCCTTCCGTGTGGGGCAAAACGCTGGAACTACGGAACAGAGCGCGCCTGCCCGCCACCACAGGGGGGGAGAGAAAGAAAATGGCTGGTTGTTTACTGGGGAAACCTACAGACGACAGAACACGGGGACGTGGACCTCCTGACAACAAGTAATTAAACAGGATTACAAATCCTACATTTTTTTAATTGAGAAGGTCAGCGGGCACTGAGTCTGTTCAGGGTTACTGCCTAACGAATCTCGTGATCTGTGTGGTTTGGGGCTCTGCCCCGCAGCTGCGTGCTTTTATATAGATCCATTTTTAAACAATTCCTGTCTACTAAAGCTTTAAATCTATGCTCATACACTTGAAGAAACCTACACCTAGGAAATAGCAGGATTATTCAATTTCACCTTAAGCAATCCATAAAAGGTAGTTAAAATGCAGTAAACCCCGTAATCTACAAGAAGTTTATTCTGGAGGAACCGATTGCCAAAGACAGACTAGAAGTTACGGTCTCAGAGCAAGCGGAACCGGGCCGGCCTACAGAACGCGGCAGGTCGGGCTGCGCAAGCGCTGCACAACTTCAAGGAACAGAAGTTTTGCATTCCCTAAGACACTTTTATTTGCCTGACTCTTTGTGGCGTACACTGGATGGAACCTTAGGGAGGAGCTCATCCCTGTCCTGACAGCAACGGCATGCCCATCGATTTACACGGGCCGGTTTTCTCTTGGCTCAATTTCAAAAGGACATTTAATGGAGAAATACAAAAGGTTCGGTACCTGCATTTCCTGCACCTGTAGAGAACCTCTGTGTTTGGAGCTTGACATACACTGGTTGGATCAGCAGCAAAGACTTCTCGGGGCAGGTCCCGAAGTTCTGCAGAGGGGTGAGCAGGAGGTTGTGAATCAGATCGGCGCAGCCACGCTGTGTTTCTGCGGGACGCGGCAGCGCTGCGCCTCCGCCCCCGTCCCGCCACGCAGCAGCCACCTGGCTGGCGTACGTTTGTCCACTCACCAACTCCACTGGATAAGCAGAAAACGAAAGAGCCTCATCCCACCACACCTAAGACTGGGATTCACTTAAGGCAAGGAACTGGGATCTAGACTGGCCTTAGCAATGGTAAGAGAGCTGCATCTTGCTTTACGTTCTTACTTAGAAAGCACGGGCGGAGGAGGAGTTACAGCAGCTCTGCTGACCTTCCAGCGCACACACGGAAAGTCGGCTTACGAACGGGCGCTGCCAAGGAGAACGACACCTAAATGGCGAGAGCACTGCCACGCTGAGGATGCGACACCGAGATCTTGCAAAAGAGCTACGGATTATTATTTTGTTATAAAATTTCACGTATGGACACAGATCTCCTACAGTCAAGCTTTTGCAAGTTAAAGTATGAAGTTTACTTCATGCCTTGATTTCAACTTTATCTCAGTTTTGCATGTGTTATTTTTGGTTTTTTTTTTTTAATTCCGTTGACTTCTTTTTAGAGGACGTCAAGTTTGCCTAGCCGGGTACAGAAAAATCAGGAAAGGTACCAAACCGACCGTCACCCTTTCTGAATTTCGCTACGGAGAACAGCGCCTTGCGGATCCCGGTTCCCAGGCGGGTCGCAAGGCCGCTTTTCCCCGTCGCTGACGACCTCCAGCCCGATGCCAGCGCTTGCCTGGTCAGGCTCGGGGCTCGGCGGCTCCGGGGGCAACACCCCGGGTCCCCCAGCCCC